TTCAGAAGAGTCGGTAACTTAAGTTAAATCCCAAATATAAAAGCTAAGAACACAATTGCCTTTGAGTTTAATTCTTATCTGGTAACTTTTTTCAGTCACGTTGTCTATGTCTTCAGCTTAGTAGTGCTTTTTATTTCTTCAAACAGACTACTATGTGGCACCGGACAGTGTTGCCAACGGTTTGTGCAAGAAGCTGAAGCTAACCCTGGGTTTTCTGTGCCTGCTGTTGGTCATGACCGACACCATACTGGTGTCATATTTTGCAGGTCAGCCTTTTATTAATTGCCTGTAATGTGTAATACAATGTTTGAATACTTGAAAACTATTGCTGGTTTTTTTATGACCATACAGACCAATGCAACATGCTGTTTGTCTTGTTTAAATCCAGCTCAAGTGATGACGCTTTCTGCTGAGGTGGCCAATCTTATATCACGGGGCAGCATCCCTGAGTTACTACGTGCGGAACTTCAGCGTAAGTACCATGTCCTGATATCGTATAATACCAGATATATACTAGATAGTTACATCTAGCATGTATTTGTACTATCATGTCATGTTAACCAAATTCACCTTCACAGAGAAAAATGTCACAGCACGTGTCATGTCAGTTCATCCATAGTTTGTGTAAATATACCTTACAGCTTACATTTAGGTGAACGATAATCTATCGTCTTTCAGAGATGGGCGTGTCTCCGGCAGCTCTGGGGAGTATGGGCCCACCTGGTCCTGTGTCTCCCGGACTCCTTTGGAAAACAGGAGAAAAGGGGCCCAGGGACCCAGCTTGCCCCATTTATATGGGTCCCCCTGGGCCACCAGGACAAAAGGGGTCCATGGGCCCACCTGGCCCTGTGTCTGCCGGTCCACCAGGAGAAAAGGGGTCCATGGGCCCACCTGGCCCTGTGTCTGCCGGTCCACCAGGAAAACGGGGGCCCATGGGCCCACCTGGTCGACCGGGCCGGCCTGCGTCGACCGGGCCTCCTGGGCCACCTGGCCCTCCAGGGTTGATGGGGCCTATTGGTCCTCCTGGCCGAAATGGAAAACCTGCCGGACCACCCGGACATCCTAAACCAGTCAGGTCAAACAAAGGTAACACAGCGATTCTTTATTAGTAACACAACTCAAATGTTTATTTAGTTAGTTTTTTTTAGTTTTATTTATTTATTTAGCTTAGTTTTATTTAGTTTTGACTTGTAAATCGTTTTCTACATTATTTTGAAACTTTGTGTCCTTTTTCAATAAAACATATTCAATTCCTATAAATGTTTCATTAATATGAAGCTTTGTTTCTAGCATCTTGCCCTGAAGGTTACACTAAGTTCCGTGAAACCTGCTACAAGGCGTTCAACGCCCTGGCGAACTTCAGGGACTCGGCTCTGTACTGTCGACGTCGCGTCGATGGCGGCGCCCTTGCCATGCCCAAAGACGCTGCCACAGACGCCTTCCTCATCTCTCTCAAGAACGCCGTCGACGACAAATCCGACTTCTGGTTTGGTCTCCATGATCGGCGCAAAGAAGGAAACTTCGAGTGGATCGATGGTTCTGCCTTCGGAAGCTACAAATCCTGGGCTCCGGGGGAGCCAAGTAATGATGATCTAAACGAACACTGTGCTCACTACTTCTCGTCTAACCACAGAAAAGATATTCCTTACGCAAACAAGTGGAATGACTGTACCTGTAACTCCGTTTCACCCTTCATATGCCAAGTTGCACTAGGTACTTCACGTTAATATATACCATTTCTTGCCAATGTTCCAATTGATTATCATTGTTGTCACCAGCTTTGAACTTGCATAAAAACACTACACCATACATCAATGATTAAAACATTCCACACCTTACTGATGGTACCTTTGCCCATTCCTTTGCAGGACGTCCGTAAGCCACAGACCGAGCCCTCACCACGTGTGTTTAACATCATCAAAGTTCAAGAGGCGACAGGTAATTAATAAGATCTTACATAAAAAATATTACCACCTGTAAGCCAGCTTTTTTCCATGTTTCTATGGGTTATTATTTTCTTGTACTAAGTAGACATTTTCAATGTGTGATAACCTATTGTCATGAAGCATTTAAGCAATAAAAGTGCAATTATACAATGGAATCTAACACTAACAATAGTAATCATATGAAATGGACCTGCAGAGCTTTGTCTGTTGTCTTGTATGTGAACAGAGTTAATTTTTAATTTGGATTGTATGAAAAAGGAACAATGTGCCTTTACTTGTCGGTGAAACATTGTGCAATAGACACTTTAAAGTAAAGTAAAAGATTACTTTGTAACAATGTATTAAAATAACTTCTGCATCTACATAATAAGAATGGAAATAGGATCTGCATAGTAACAATGAATCTGCATTGTGAAACGGAAAGTAAAATGAATCTGCATAGTGAAATGGATGTAAAATGAACGTGCATAGTAACAATGGAAGTAAAATGAATCTGCATAGTAACAATGGATGTAAAATGAACGTGCATGGTAACAATGGAAGCAAAATTAATCTACATAGTAACAATGGAAGTAAAATGAATCTGCATAGTAACAATGGAAGTAAAATAAATCTGCATAGTAACAATGGAAGTAAAATGAATCTGTATAGTAACAATGGAAGTAAAGTGAATCTGCATAGTAACAATGGAAGTAAAATGAATCTGCATAGTAACAATGGAAGTAAAGTGAATCTGCATAGTAACAATGGAAGTAAAATGAATCTGCATAGTAACAATGGAAGTAAAATGAATCTGCATAGTAACAATGGAAGTAAAATGAATCTGCATAGTAACAATGAAAGTAAAGTGAATCTGCATGGTAACAATGGAAGTAAAATGAATCTGCATAGTGAAATGGAAGTAAAATGAATCTGCATAGTAACATTGAAAGTAAAATGAGTCTGCATATTATCAATGGAAGTAACATGAATATTCAAAGGAACAATGGAATTAAAATGAATCTGCAGATAGTAGCAATGGAAATACATGTAGAATGAATCTGCATAGTCAAAATGGAAGTAAAATGGATCTACATTGTGGAAGTAAAAGGAACCTGCATAGTAAAGATGGGAGTAAAATAAAGCTGCATTGAATAGATCAATCGTGACAATAGTCTTTTTCCCTTTATTCAGGTGTATCAATTTCTACCATGTACGTTTGATTATATATGTATATATAGTATCAGTCGCAATGAGTCTGTGAAAACCCCTTCAACAGCACCACGCCGGTATCTTCTATGTCTTTCTCAGTAGTCAGTGACAAAGTCCTGAGGTAAACCCTTTCTTGGATGTACGAGTGCCAGTCTTTTTTGGACCACATGCTCTGTTCATCGTAGTAATACAGTAGTTTGGTTTCGTCCTTGTTGGAGGGAACGATCTCGTAGACACGGACCCAGTCGCAGAGGTGCAGCATCATCACAACACCTGCAAAACAGCACACAATTACATCCAGAACCGTCAATGTTGTATCCAGAACGCAATTTATCCAGAACCATGTTCTTCGATGAGAAGAGCTTGCTGCCCAAACAAGACAGGCACCCCGACAGCCAAGAAGGCATTTACCTCAGGCACTCCGACAGCCAAGAAAAGGTTTACCTAAGGACATTGTCACTGACTCCAGAGAAAGACATAGACGAAACAGGCGTGGTGCTGTTGAAGGGGTTTTCAAAGGCTTCATGTGACTGATAGTATACATATTTTAGCAAACGTACATAGTACACACTCAAGCTTCATGTGGATGATACCATCACTAGCTACATGTATATCCGTGAATAGTTTCATCAGGTTGGTAAGACACAGTAAAGAGACTCTTTTAACACAACCAAGTCATTTATTCAGCCGACGTTTCGGTGACCGTCTGTCACCTTCGAATTCCTCAGGGCAATTCTGACTGGTTCACATTGCATTACAGCAATGCATCTGTAGCAGCGACACCTGTGCTGCAGTGCCATGTGAACCAGTCAGAATTGCCCTGAGGAAGGTGACAGACGGTCACCGAAACGTCGGCTGAATAAAAGACTTGGTTGCGTAAAAAAGAGTCTCTTTACTCGTCACTAGCTATAGTGTCAGAAGTGCAGTGTCTTAGGTGTTTTTATATGCTGTAGTAAACTAATCATGATAATAACAACTCACCATAGATAATGCATATCAATGACTTAATGAAGCATATCAATGTTAATATCTATGTAAAAGTTAATTGTCAATGTACAACAAGAAGTAATTCAGAAAATGACTGCAAAGTTCTTGTTTTTATAAATTAATCTTTTGATTGATTGATTGATCGATCGATCGATCGATCGATTGATCGATCGATCGATCGATCGATTGATCGATTGATTGATTGGTTGGTTGGTTGGTTGGTTGGTTGGTTGGTTGGTTGGTTGGTTGGTTGGTTGGTTGACTACAAATGTCATTTATCGTGCTTAGTCGACATCTACGGTGTGGTAACTGACCAATTGGCAATGATGTTGTTTATGTCACTGGAAAGCTTTACACACAAGGCTGTTCTTAAGGGTTAAAAGTAAAAAAAAAACACGGATCAAAAAAATATTAATACACTGTGATGTTGGAATCACGAATAAATGCTGGCAATGTTTCGCGAGATAAAAAAAAGAAATTACAAAATTTAGGTATATTTCATTCAGTTGTTTTTTTCAGTGCTCAGTTACGAAAACAACTAATTACTAATTCATATAATTTGGCCATATTTTTCATTTTATCACTCCGACCCTAATCATGTTGAGAAAGCTTTTATGCCATATTAGTCTAGTACGTAGCTCAGTCAGCAAGCCCCCGAGTCTGGTGTAGGACGTGTTTTTGCTGTCAGGAACGCTGAAGACCAGACACCATGCCGAGACGGCAGCAGCAGGACCCAACTGGTAACACAATCTGCATCGTTTGCCAAAATTTCCCTTTTCCATATATGTGTTATGATCCACTGCTTAGTTATCCCAAGTATTTCATACATGATTCTAGAAAATTATTTTGGAAAAAAAATCTCCAGGCACCGCCCCCATGCAGCAGTCTCAGACCGAGTCAGAGACCGATGATGCGACAACCGCCAACCCTGCGTACGGCTGCCGAGCAGGTAAAACACACACAGTTGAGTTGTAGGGACATTTTGGTGTCTTACGTACTCTGTGATTTTCGGCGATGGTTGCATTTCAAGTGAAGCTGTACCTTACTATATTCGTGTGAAATCAGTTGCATTATCTGTTTTCTTGTCCATCTCATTACTTGCATGTGTAACCTTTTTAGGCGTACACTGAATATTTCGTCATTCACTACGCACAGTTTGCTGGTGGCAACAGGTTTTTGATTGTCTGCCTCTGCCTGATTGCTTGGCGGCGAGAGGAGAATAATATATGCATTATTACGCTCTAAAATATTTTAAAGAATCGTGTCGCATTTTAACCATTGTATGTGTGATTTCGAAATTTTAATGTGTATATCAGTAATTCGTGTCGTCGTGAGTACCGTCCCACGGTGACCACTTTGTATATTTGTTATTTTGGTCAAGGGTAATTAGCACATTGTAGTTACAACCAATTCAGGGCCTATGCCCTGCGAGATGTAACATGTGCAAGACGAACAATAAACCAGTATTAAAAAAAAAGAGAGAGAGAGAAAGACTTCAATTGGAACTTTGATGTGCACAACTCACTGTACTGTGTTTACTTTCCTTTATTGTTTGCTTTGTGTAACATCTGAAGCCCGAGTTTCGTAGCTACTGTCGATTGTGCATATTAGACTGTGTGGCAATTTTTTTCAACACAAAATCGCCAATGTGGTAATAACAGCACTCGTTCAAAATGGCAAACTGTGCGTAGTGGATGACTAAATATTCAGTGTACGCCTAAAAAGGTTACACATGCAAGTAATGAGATGGACAAGAAAACAGATAATGCAACTGAAACTGTCAGACGTTTGAAGACATCTCAAATGTTCAGTGGAGTCAGTAACTGAAGTTAGATCCCTCGTATAAAAGCTAAGACCACATTTATGATATAATGAGTATAGTAATCCTTTTTATATTTATTCTTCAAACAGCGGCCAATAATGCGGCACCGGACAGCGTTGCCATTGGTAACGGTTTGTGCAAGAAGCTGTGGCTAACCCTGGGTTTTCTGTTAGTTATGGGCAACGCCATACTGGTGTCATATTTTGCAGGTCAGCTTTTTTTTATTGTGTGCACCAATAATGTAATACTATGATTAAATACTTCCTAATTATTTTTGGAAGTTTATATCACTGTACAGACCAATGCATTGTACTATTTGTACTATCCAGCTCAAGTGATGACGCTTTCTGCTGAGGTGGCCAATCTTACATCACGGGGCAGTATGGGACCACCTGGCCCTCCAGGGTTGGTGGGGCCTATTGGTCCTCCTGGACAGAAGGGATGCTCGGTGTGTCCAAAAGTTGCCGGACATCCTCAAGCATCAGGACCAGTCGAATCGAATGAAGGTATCATGACTATTCAAACGTATGAATAATCAGATCAATGTTTAGTTGTGTGTGGTTTATATGTTTTTATACTTTCATTTATCATGGTGTTCATATGCAATACATATTTTTGTGTACTTTTTATGATATCAATCATTCAATTGCCCTAAATGTATCATTAATGCCAAGCATTGTTTCCAGCATCTTGCCCTGAAGGTTACACTAAGTTCCGTGAAACCTGCTACAAGGCGTTTAACACCCTGGCAAACTTCGGGGACTCGGCTCTGCACTGTCACGTCGATGGCGGCACCCTTGCTATGCCCCGAGACGCTGCCACAGACGCCTTCCTCATCTCTCTCAAGAACGCCGTTGACGACAAATCCACCTTCTGGTTTGGTCTCCATGATCGGCGCAAAGAAGGAAGCTTCGAGTGGATCGATGGTTCTGCACTTGGAAGCTACAACTACTGGGCTCCGGGGGAGCCAAATAATAAGCGTGTCAACGAAAACTGCGTTCACTACTGGCCGTTTTACTACGAATCTGCTTGTGCAAACAAGTGGAATGACGAAGAATGCGACTTGGTTTCATTCTTCATATGCCAAGTGGCACCAGGTACTTCACGTTAATACGTTGTTGTCACCAGTTTTGAACTTAAACCATATTCACAAACTCACCACTGATTCTTTATCCATTCATAATTGAAACTGTTTAAGGACATTCCATTGATGTTACCTTTGCTCATTCCTTTGCAGGACGTCCGTAAGCGACAGGCCGAGATCTCACCACGTGAGTTCAGCAACAGCAAAGTTCAAGAGGCGACAGGTAATTTATAAGATCTTAAAGTAAATTATTGTGACCTGTAAGCCAGCTTTTTTCTATATGTTCCAATGGGTTATTATGTGCTTGTACTAAGTAGAAATTTTCAATGTGTGATAACCTATTGTCATGAATCATTTAAGCAATAAAGGTGCAATTATACAATGGAATCCAACACTCATAATAATCACATCAAATGGACCTGTAGAGCTTTGTCTGTTGTCTTGTATGTGAAATTGATTTTTAATTTAGATTGTATGAAAAAGAACGATGTGCCTTAATTTCTTGTTTGTGAAAAATTGTGCAGTAGACACTTTTGTAAAAGATTACTTTGTAACAATGTAGTAAAATAACTTCTTCATCTACAAAGTAAGAATGGAAATAAAAAGGATCTGCATAGTAACAATGGAAGTAAAATGAATCTGCATAGTAACAATGGATGTAAAATGAATCTGCATAGCAATAATTGAAGTAAAATAAATCTGAAAAGTAAGAATGGAAGTAAAATTAATCTGCATAGTAACAATGACAGTAAAATGAATCTGCAAAGTAAAAAAAAGTAAAATGAATCTGTAAACTACTGATGAAAGCCAAATGTATCTGCATAGTAACAATTGAAGTAAAAAAGGAATTTATTAATTACTAATGAAATCAAAATAAATCTGCATAGTAACAATGGATGTAAAATAAAGCTGCACTAAATAGATCAATCCCGACAATAGTCTGTTTTCCCTTGTTTTAGGTACATCAATTTCTACCATGTACGTTTGCTAATATATGTATAAATAGTATCAGTGGCATTGAGTCTGTGAAAACCCCTTCAGCAGCACCACGCCTGTATCTTCTATGTCTTTCTCAGTAGTCAGTGACAAGGTCCTGAAGTAAACCCTTTCTTGGATGTACGAGTGCCAGTCTTTTTTGGACCACATTTCCTTTTCATCGTAGTAATACAGTAGTTTGGTTTCGTCCTTGTTGGAGGGAACGATCTCGTAGACATGGACCCAGTCGCAGAGGTGCAGCATCATCACAACACCTGCAAAACAGCACACAATTGCATCCAGAACCAATCGGATATATGTGGAGACTATCCACAACCGTGCCTGATCCTAACCCTAACCCATTCAGACATAGAACTAGATAGGCATGGTTCTGAATACAATGGAGACTGTCCAGAACCGTGCCTGATCCTAACCCAAACCCATTCAGGCATGGAACAAGGATATGCACGGTTTTGGATACAATAGTCACCACAAATATCGGTTTCCAAAGCCTATACAGTTCCTTGTGTATCTTATTACCTGGACGTCTAACGTTCATCGACGTAAAAGAATACCTTATTTGCTAAAGATCGGCAGTACAATGCCATGATGTTACAGATGCGTGATGCTTTCTTTGGCTGACTGCCCAACTTCCCTTTTACATAGATCACTCAAATTACTTTTCGGGCTAATTTGCATCTCTGATTCCCTAATTAATACCAATCACGATACGTATATTTTAAAAACTGGCAGCTTAATTACTAGTGTTAGATGAATGTTTTATACCATGAACATATAAGTAATGGGGTTGAACATAAGTTGCTACTGTAAAACGTTAACGAAACTGCCTTACCAAACATGCCCGAACTTGGACTCATAATTGCCTTGTAACACATTCCTGTAGTGATGCAGAACCGCGCCAGTTCCCGCATTATGTCATTTCCGAAGTCAGGTCTCTGTATAAAAGGCAAATCCCTTTCTGGATACTTCTTCCCGTATTTGACCAAGTTGGCAAAAACGTGGAAACGGTCGGTTTTGGTGTTTACCTTTTCTCCTTCTAAACCGATGGCGTCCATGTTCCTAACAACTATGGTTTCATGTTTGAACATGGTGCTGTTCTCGCTCCAAAATTCCTTCTGGCATGACCGTCTCGGAATCTGTGTGTTGATGAGACGAAAGTCCGTCCGGTTTCCGACGAACTGCTCGAATCCCTGCGTTGGAGCGCAGTTGAATCTCAGCACGGCGTCGTGGCTGTCTAAAGGAAAATAGTTTTCTTGAAGACATAACCTGATTAACATTTAGGGCTGAGAAATTATTCTATCGTTCTCCTACCCGGTTAAGTCCACTAAATGCTGTTTCTTGTCATTTATCTTCTGTTCTTGTTTCATGTGGCCCGAGGCACCCAAAACTATACTTCCTATCCGGCCTCTACCAGGCTTCGGAAGCGACTGGAAATAGTGGAAAGCACATTTTGCCGCACTTCTTTCTAGCGGACTAACTCCTTCGGCATGTTATCTCTCTATTTTGCGAATTCCTACTCTTTCTAGCCGCCTCCCGAAGCCTGATCATGAGAGGCTACAAGCAACCCATTCCGACCTACCTATCTCCTTCCCGTACGTGTGAAGCCTGAGGCCGTGGCTACTACTGACGACTGCGCACGAGTTAAAGTGCACCAACTTCTCCAGACTCTCCTCCGGCAGTATGGTGGCGTTTCCATCTTTGGACGCCTGTTCTCTTGTTATAGTTGAGAACGGAACGTTCTTCCTCAGAGCACACAGCAGTTCTTGCCCGTCAACCATAGGTTTAATGATTTTAAACACAAATGTTGGCATCAAAAACGTATGTAGTACGTAGTATATCATTATACCAACACACACTCCTGCACTGAAAATCATTAGTGTCCTTTTTGCCATGATACGTTCCTATTGTTTTGTTTCCAACGCATCAGCAACCTGTAAATAGTAGATCAAATTAGTATGCATAGTTTAAAGTAAGATATTACTGAAATGTTTGCCTGTCTATGTTTCCCTCATGTCTTTCATTCAATACGCACATCCGGAACAAACTGTTGACGAAACAGTTCCTAGCCGGTACGTTAACTCCACAGAACACGATCTTAAACATACTAGTCAATCCAATCATGTCTTTTATCTTCTGCTGTTGTATGAATATTTTTCTTACCTTTTAGATAAAGCTAACCCGACACTTATTCTATTGTAATGAGAAGCAACAATAAAATACTATAATATCAACCGACTTACCTGAGAAGCAGACCGTATGGACCTAGCCTCCGCAGCAGGCTTATAGAACTGGGGGTTTGCTGGTCTTCGGCTGTTTTCTGATTAGCCCAGTTTAAAAAAAAAACGGGGGTAATTCAACTAGGCCGGCTATGTTGTCTATATGCAATCAGAAAATACCACATAAAAGATCACAAAGACCCTGAAGACCCACAAAACCCCCAGTTTTTGGCATGCTGTGGAGGCTAGTACGGACCGGTGTGATATCTGGTGTTGTCGGAACATCTCTGCTGACTGTTGACGGATGTTGGACTGCGCATGTGTCGACTATGATGACGCATTACGTCAGCGTTGGTGCGTTTCTTCAGTCTCGACTGTTTGAACTTTCACCCTAGAAATGTGTGACCTCTAGCTATGGTCTCTACCAGGCTTCAGAAGCGACCTGAAAGAGTAGAAATTAGCAATATAGACAGGTAACATACCAGGGGGGTTGATTCACTGAAGGAATACAGTTTGTTGGGAAAAGTAAATCTGTATTATCCTCACCAGAACTCGGAAAAAAGGAGAGTAAAATTGGCCAAGCGAGTCCGGCCGCGGAAGGTTGGTTCTTTCCCTCCAAAGCGGCCAGTCAAACCCCAAGGCGTCCAAACTCCCCTGACAAATATTCTCCTATATATAGCCAGCGTAGTTAGTCTGGTAGAGACTACATCTGTACTGTGATTGAGAAAACATGGCGACTGTTTATTAATAAAAAAAACATTCTTTGTCTTTGCGCTTCGAAGTTATCACTAGTGAAACATATCTAAATGGACGTCAAACAAGTTGGGGCGATAAACATTGGTTGGGGAAATATGCTGCATTTGCTGGAAAATAATGCCCAGCTGTTACCTTCCCGCCTGCGGGCATGTTGACGGATGTTGGGTCCGGTTAGGCCACACTGTTTTAATTTTATGGTTGACATCCGCGCGTTCATTGATTTTCATCTGCCCTTAAAAAAGCCAGTGTGCCATTTTCTAGCCTCCATAGCATGCCAAAAACCGGGGGGGTTTGTCGGTCTTCAGGGTCTTTGGGAGCTTTTATGTGCTATTGAATTACCCACGTTTTAGAACTGAGCTAATCAGAAAACAGCCGAAGACCACCAAACCCAGGCCCCAGTTCTATAAGCCTGCTACGGAGGCATCTTCCGTAATCCATATTAGCTAGTCACAATATGAAGCCGGTGGTAACTACGAATGACGGCACTCTAGATCTATGATACAGTGCACCGGTGACGACTCATATATGCTGCAAAGGGCCAGCATGCCCCGGCTTGTTGTAAAAGTAGTCATGTACAACTGTAAATTCGCAAAACCAGCTTTGCATTCCTGTGATTTAACAGCATTCTTTTTTTGCTGGCCCTTTTTTTTATTCGCCCGCTCGCATTAGTTTTGGTGTCTGCAGGGGATGTCATCCATACAATTAAGTCAATATGGCCTAAACATTGGCAACCTCGATACGTCACCAAATGTATTCGAACTATTATTCCATAAAACACACAAAACATAGCACTACGCTGGTAGACTATACAAAGGTTTAGGCATCAACAGTTGCATCGGCTGACTAGCAAGTACTTCAAGAAAAGGTGGGCTTGCACAGTATTGCTTACTCAAACAGTTATGATGTATATTGCGTGTGTATATCATTGTGTGTGTTTACGTATACCATTGTGTACGTAAGGCAACATTTTATAACGTATGTCTAGGGATAAATAGGGTACATTGTTGTTACTGTACACATATTATTGCAAGCTAAGTCTGAAACTAGTTCCACTGTCTCATACCGTCGCCAAACGACTTCTTGCCACGTATACGTGTACGTATCACTCTGATACCGTAGTATACAGTATAGTATAGTATACTACAATTGACTGTCGTATTCTACCAACTAATTATGGAATTGCACAATAGATCACTAATACATTATGACTCCCTTTCCTTGTAGACGACGGTCATGTTTTCATTGGTGCTGAGATAGGCTGACAAAAAAACATTATAACTTGAAGCAAATGGCAGTTCACGACCAAACCGCAAGGTGGCGGTCATGTACAGTCTAAAAATTCCCGTGAAGAAGTCAGGAGATAGACTGATTGTAATAGAGCGCTACCCCTCCAACACGAGTATGCTTAAAGTCATCGTGATTGTTTCGCTACTATGGTTGTCTGTTGGATTCGTCATGTGGCAGTTCGCACTGCTGGATGAGACAAGTACTGCGCTTCATCATGAAAACGCTAGGAGCGCTTCTGATCTGAAAGTTGGAGAGGAACACCCAACAGAGGGCAAACAGCGACTGGACCATGGGCAAAGTGAGAAAACTAAAGGGAAAATTCAAGCCGTGAAGAAGGAGAAAGAAAAAGAGAAAATTGTCGTGAAGGTTAGTAATTATATGTAATGAACTACAAGGAAGAGAAAGTATATGGCATAAGTCATAATCGGATTTGCTAAAAAATTCCGTCTAGCAAAATAAATGCTCACCAATACGAATATACCACAGGAGTTTATGCCTTCTTCAAGTTGTAATGACCAACTACGCATGACACGTGACCTTATGGGGGCGTGACGTCAACTTATCTGGAAATTTTGTTTTAGTGATACATTTCTTTTGTTGTTGCTGAATGTAATTTGTTGTGTTTACCGAAGGAAACATATTGTTTTTGCTCAGTTTCTTCATCTTCCTCTTCTTCTTCTCCAAACGAATAAGGTTAATGACCTGAACCAGACGTGTATCACCATGGTAACTAGCGTTGGTGACATTAGAATTTTATAGCAGGAGGGCTTTAGACTCCTGTCACCATATATATATGAATGTGTTTGAGTAAGAATTTACAGAGCAGACCATATGCGAAGGTAAACATTACGCATTTGCTTTGCAAATGTTACCTTATCTAAGTTTTGATTGAAGTTGGTGATTTTTTTCAGAGAGAACCCATTGACCAAACCCCACATCTGAAGCGCCCGAAAGCTGACCCCTCTGCACCGGGGGAGGGCGGGAAGGGGGTCAAACTCGAACCTCTGACCCCGGAAGAGAAAAGCCTCCATGCGGAGTTGTTGAAGAATAACTCTTTTAACGCCTGGGCGAGCAGCAAGATATCTCTTCATCGGAGTCTGCCGGATCTCAGACACAGACTGTTAGTCAATTATCTTATAACTTTGTTATTTCTCTCAAAAGTCACTTTTAATCCGTGAATTAACTGCTATAGTGGTACTTTTGTGAATTGTGATATTTACAGTATTACTGAGCTGCGATGATGATGATGATGATAGTATTGCAGTAGGAAGTAGAGAAGTATTCCCAATTGTTGAAAATATTTCTGTGTATATAATCCAGAACGTCCGCTCTATAGACATACGTTGCCCCCACAAAAATATAGAAAACAACAGTACGCCCCTGAGGCGTCGCCAAAAAATACAAAGTTCTGCAACAATGTAGCCCTATGTAGAGTCTGTTGACGTCAAAGACAGTCATATTTTCATTGCCTAAACTATCTTAATGATCAGTTCTAACGCTATCAGTCGGATACATTGTTGCAGAACTTTGTATTTTTTGGCAACGCCTCAGGGGCGTGTTGTTGTGTTCAGCGGTCCATAAATTTTCATTATCATTAACACAAAGACGTTCATTGTTTCAGGTGTAAACAGAAGCAGTACTTCCGGCCCTTGCCTCAAAGTTCGGTCATCATTATCTTCTATAACGAGGCGTGGTCCACGCTACTGCGCACGGTGCACAGCGTGTTAGAAGCGACCCCTGCCGAGCTGCTGCGGGAAGTCATCCTGGTGGACGACTGCAGCACGTTTGGTAAGGAGTGTAGTATGTTTGTTTGTTTGCTTTTCCAGGATCTTCATTAGTCTGAATTTTCACACTATTTTTCCTGCAGTACGCTCGGTAAGTGGTATTACTAATCTACTGTATAGTTAATCTCAAAGCAGATCAAAGACAGCGAAAAGCTGGCAGGACGGTATCCAAGACGCCACAGTTTGGCTGACGAAAAATTAGCCGAACATAAACCTTTGAAGTTACCTTACCTTTAGTTTTTTTAAAATAGTAATCCATATAAAGATAAAAAATATGAGGAAACAAACAAAAACTACAGTTACTTAAGCAACCGGATAAAATGCATCCACAGACAGTTTAGAAAAGCAAGGAGATTTTCAACCTGTTAGTGGATGCTACTTGAAATGTCTGACAATTTTCAAAATCTATCCAGTTACTTTGATAACTGTTCTCTTGTGTATCTCTTTACCTGGATGTCTCACTTTAATCCAGCTCACCTGCAGACGCCGCTTGAAGAGTACCTGTCCGACCTTCCCCAGGTGCGGCTTGTGCGGAGCCCGACACGGCAGGGGCTCATCCGGGCACGGCTACTGGGCGCCTTACATGCACGCGGAGAGGTGAGGATTCTGAGGAATGAGTGAGTGAGTGAGTGAGTGAGTGAGTGAGTGAGTGAGTGAGTGAGTGAGTGAGTGAGTGCGTGCGTGTGAGTGAGTGAGTGAGTGAGTGAGTGAGTGAGAGAGTGAGTGAGTGAGTGAGTGAGTGAGTGAGTGCGTGTGAGTGAGTGAGTGAGTGAGAGAGAGAGTGAGTGAGTGAGTGAGTGAGTGAGTGAGTGAGTGAGTGAGAGAGTGATCATGAGTGAGTGAGTGAGTGAATGAGTGAATCAGGCCTAAGCGTCTATCGACTTAGGCCTAAGCGTCTATCGAATATTCGTGCAGTACCACTGCCACTGAAATTCCCTTCAAAACCTTGTCCCCACCAGACTCCTTTGCAGGCTGAATAAATACTAGAAATCGGCCTAAAAATAATGTAGCTGGCCAGGGGAGTTGGCCGACCATGGATGGTCCAGTTTGTCTGCATCAGTACTATTTGATACCGCCCATGCATGCCTGAGAAAACCTTTCGTTTCTGAGCCTAGATCCTGACGGTCCTGTCTTCGTGAGTCTATTGCAGAGCAGGACTTTGTTCCAACAAGCAGAAGGAAAACATTTTGTTGTAGGATTTGCAGCGTTTATTTTGTTTCTGTGGCAGGTGCTGACGTTCCTGGACTCCCACTGTGAGTGCATGCACGGGTGGATGGAGCCGCAACTGGAGACCATCGCCAGAAACCACAGCACAGTCCCGATATCCGTGCTGGACAACATACTGCATGATACCTTCCAATACGTGTTCATAGAGTTAGAGGTGAGATATTGGTTCAAAACTAACAAACAAACAAACAAACAAACAAACAAGCAAACAACATTCTGCACGATATCGTCCAATAACCATTGATAGACCTAAAGGTGAGACATCATCAATGTTCAAAACAAACAAACAATGTCCCCATCTCTGTACTGGACAACATCCTACACGACACCTTCCAGTACGTCTTCATAGAATTAGAGGTGAGACATTTCCTATGATCATTTCAAGAAAGTTTATCTGCATTTTTAAAATGGACCGACCTATGAAAATATGAAATCTGTTTAGTTTTAATCGTCAATGCCGTACTTTTTAATGTGCATTTCTTTCAAGTTTTAAGATGTAAAACTTGTACAATTCAGCCAACACTGGCTGCCAATCAATCAAAAATTGAGTGTAGCGATTCGTCGGCGTGATGTAGCTAGCTGCCGCCGCGCCGCGTGCCTGCGAAGGTGAGACTACTCTCAAAACAGAGGTTGGTAGGGAAGATTGTGACCTTTCTATCATATACTTCATTTTCTGTCACGAGTCCCTACTAAAACGACAGAAAACGGGACAGAAAGGTCACAATCTTCACTATCATCCAAATAACTAGGAACACTCTGGAAAACAAACAAACAAACACACACACACAAACAAACAAACACACGCAAAACAAATCATCCGCACACGGAGGCAATTACAACGTCAATTTGTATCATTACAATACTTTCTTTTGAATTATGTGTCTTTCCTAACGTTACAGAGCATACCGATGGGCGGCATCAACTTCAAAGACCTGACGTTTGCCTGGGAGACGATTCCCGAGCACGAGCGGAAACGGCGGAAATCTCCGGTCGACCCCATCAGGTGATTCCTTTTAGATCATAGTCTAGAATGGATCTCAATGGTCCTTTAAGGATCTATAAGAAGACGAGAAAAAGTATTCCATCTCTGAAAGATCTTTCTATGATCTTCAATGTGTTTCAACAATCCCAAATTTCCCCTAAAGATCCCAAAGATCTTCCAATCGTCTTTCAATGTGTTGTTTTATAAAGTCTATTTCTTACTTTTCCTGACCCCCTGGGCTTTTGGAAGAGAATATTGTAGCCGGTTCTCAGACAGAAGGGCAGACAGTTGCAATTTTCTCTTCAAATCTTGGACCAGATTATATTTTCTTGCAAAATCAGTACTAACAGGTGCTTGTAGCTTTCTGCAATATCTCTGTTTCTCAATTCCATTTTACACCCACAGGTCTCCGACCATGGCCGGCGGGATTTTCTCCATCAATAAGAAGTACTTTGAGCACCTGGGCGCTTACGACACCGGCATGGAGGTGTGGGGCGGAGAGAACATAGAGATGTCCTTCCGGGTAACGTGGCGTCATGTGTTTTTCTCTTCCGGTTAACGGGACGTTACGTGTTTTCTCTTCCGGTTAACATAATGTATTTTCTTCTGGGTAAAATGTTGAGCACAATCACAGCATTTTCACACTTCGATGCCTCAGAAACTTTTGTCACGTGACATTTCATCAGCAGTGTCCCAGGAAGTTCGTATCGTCCCCCGTCCCGGTCTAAAAATGTAGTGATTCAGATAACGGAGGTGGCAAGTGGCACGTTTTCGTGCAATGACCCATGCGTACTGTACTCAGTCCGGTATATGTCTAATACAGCCTAACGCAAAACTACATCTTTTTTCTGATCACACTATATTTGTGTTCCCTGTTGATGATGATAATGATGTTTATTTGGCAAGCACAAGTTGGGAGAAACGGCCTCGCAGGACAATGACAACCAATGTCTAAATTGTGCCGTTTTAACAATAGTTTTCTTAAAAAAACTATGAACATGATGGTACCCATAAAATCATGTTTATTTCCTCCCAGATCTGGCAGTGTGGCGGAACCATCGAGATCCTGCCGTGTTCTCACGTGGGTCACGTGTTCAGACAGACGTCACCCTACTCGACCAATGACGCCTGGAAGAAAATGGTACACAACACGAAAAGGATGGCGGAGGTCTGGATGGATGACTACAAGGAAATCTACTACAGGAGACATCCAGAATATAGAAAGGTTCTTTTTTTTTATTTTTATCTATGAGTATTCTTCATATAAAACGCAGTGTACATTAGGGCTGCGTACCTAAACGTAACATCAGGTACAGGTACAGGTACCGGTACAAAGGTTTAGGTACAGGTCCGGACCTGTACCTGTACCTGAACAATTTGACAAATTAACACTTGTTCTTCACTTTTTCAATCATGACACAGAAACAATAATAATGACTGACCTCTGACCTGATTCGAGTTTGTTGACCAATCACAACCCTGGATCAGCCACACTCTCGCGATGTCTCGTGAGACTGAGGATCTCAAATCAATCGACGGTGTTTACGTCTTTTCCAGTGCTAATTTTTCGTCTTTGTGGTAGGATTTACCTATCTTTAGTCATATACATGGTGTAAACTAGCTATTTCGGTATATACTCGTTACTTCATGATCCGGTATTTTGGACCTGTACCGAAACGATTTTTACGGTATTGGACCGGTACAGCGTACCGGTCCGCAGCCCTAGTGTACATACGTGTCCCAGGACAAGTTGTGCGCATTCGCCGGACGACCAACAGTACGCCTCCAAAATAAGCTACGATGAACGTTCTTTTACGTAAATATAAAAGAATACGCATAGATATGGCAATACTCGTAGCATAGAAATTTAATGCACAGTGAACCGGCCATAACTGCCCCGATGAAGATGACAGACGGTCATCGAAACATCGGCTCTTGTTAAGCAAGTGGTCTTGTAAATAAACAATTTGCTTTTCAATAATGCACCGACCTAATGAAATTATTTGCGGGTATAAACATTTATGTTTATTTGTCAGAAATATTGACACCTGTTGTTTCACATTTTTGTAGTACCCCATTGGAGACCTGACGCAGCGGAAACTCCTGAGGAAAGCGCTGCACTGCCGGGATTTCAGCTGGTACCTCAAACACGTGTACCCCAGTCTCTACGTCCCCGATATTCGACCAATGGCATCGGGGCAGGTAAGTCACCTGACTTCATCTAGTGCCTGTAGCTTGCCTGTAGCTAGCCTCCGGTTTCC